ATAGCAAGCAGAGCTCTGGTCTTGGTCCAAGGGAAAAAAAGGTCTAACCTAGGGGTTGGGAACACAGTTCAGAGTTGAATCAGTGTGGATGGAGATAGGAGTTCAGAATTTAGAGTGAAGTTGAGAAAATAGGGGAGCACTCAGGCAGAAGACTAGCCTTCTTAACAGTTGTCTGCAGCAGAAAAACAAATAGTCCCAACTGTGGCCTCAATACAACATTGGGCTCCAACTGGCTTCCACATGTAATTTCATAGCTTCTCTGAATTTTGGAAGGAGAAATAAGGGGAGAAGTACATAGTAACTGCAAACAAGATGCCAGCTTTAGCCAGCCCAGATCAGTGCATTAGTTAAGGGCACAAACACTTAAAATCTTGAAGTAAAAGGTTGCCTTTTGCCTCAGGATTTCCTCCCTGCTGACTTCACTATGGGGAAGCTGTTGAAAAAAAGGATCTTCAGCCCTCAATGGCAATTTGTCAAAGTGGAGTTTGGTTCAAGACATTTTCTTCTCACTAAATATGCCTACTTATTTTCCATCTTCACAGACAGGCTATGTGACCTGGGAAACTATCACTGCCCACACTGATGGCAACTCTCTAAGACTTTAAATTACAGATGGGCATTGGTGAAGGGAGTTTCCATACTAGGAACTCCTCACACAAAGGAAACTGCAGACCTGAACTTTAAAAAGTTAAAAAAAAAAAAAGATGGGGATCCTTAACAAGTATTTCTGTTAGCCTGATCTCTTGTGGAGGAATTTTTCCTATGGAGGTCCCAAAGTCCAGGTGTCTGCCAGAAGGTCTCAGAGTGCTGTTAGTGAGGGGAAATAGGGTTGGTTCAAGATCAGTCCCTCCATTCTTTCTTTTCTCCAACTCTGTATTTAGAAGAACATGAGAAACCAAATGAGAATGAATTTCTCTGCATTTTGAGCTGGCAGAGATCCAAACAGTGCTTAAAAAGTGAAGGAAAGGGGCAGCTGGGTGGTACAGTGGATAGATCACTGGCCCTGGATTCAGGAGGACCTGAGTTCAAATTCAGCCTCAGACACATAACACTTACTAGCTGTGTGACCCTGAGCAAATCACTTAACCCCACTGCCTAACAAAAACAAAAAAAAAACAGTGAAGGAAAGCTGGCACTCTGTTAGACTTTGGAACTGCATGTCAGCCTATAGCCGAGCCATAAGAAGGAGAGGTATATATATATATGTATGTGTGTGTGTATGTATATGGATATAGATATAGATATAGATATAGATATAGATATAGATATAGATATAGATATAGATATAGATATAGATATAGATATAGATATAGATATAGATATAGATATAGATATAGATATAGATATAGGAGTTGGATAGGGATCTATATTCTTTTAAGTATCAGGCCCTATGCCTTGCATTTGCCTTGCTTGGTATACAGACCCTGAAAAAAACCAGAGGAAATGCTGCCATTAATACACCAGAGGTGGCTAATTCAGGTTCAGGACAGGGCAGCTAAACATCCTGATACTTTGAGGAAAATAACTGAAGAAGAAAGACTGATTAAAATTTTTTAATGTTGATAAAATAGGCTTAGTCTGGGAAATTATGCCTTCCAGAATTTACATTCCTAAGAAAGAAAAAAACTCAACCTGGATTTAAAGTGTCTAAAGATCACCCAATGCTTTTATTGGGAGGTAACAGAAAAGGGGATTTTAAATTAAAACAATGTTTATCTGCCTTGAAATCCTTACTCTTTAAAAGGCTACATCAGTCACTTCCAGTTCTTTTGCCAACAAATAAGGAAGCATGGGTGACTAATGCTGTTTATGAAGAATGATTTTCTTTATTTTAGCCCAAATGTTGAACAATATAGCAGCAATAGTAATATTGCATTTAAAGCATTACTGACTTCAGATAATACCTCAGGTCATTCAATTATACTTGGTGCATTGTGTCAGAATGTTAGCAGGCAAATTTGCCGAGATGTGGATAAAGCTGTCTGCACCAACCAGTACATATATGAATATTTAAAGAAAGAGAAAGTTTGGTTTATGCTGCTAAACTATTTTGAACAACAAAAGCAATGTTATCATATCATCATATTATCTGTGTAGGCTTATCTTTAAGGATACTATTCATTTAATTTTTTAAAAAAATTATTACCTTTTAATAAGCTTGAATCAGAAATACATACTTTTAATCTTTTGGTGTTATTACATTAAGAAAAAGTTTTTAAAACTTATTTAAAAAATTTTTCAACACATATTTTCATTGGGTTGGGACCAATTACAAACAATGTAAGGATCAAATAGGATAATTTTATATAAAGCACTTTTTACATTATATTTTTACATTTTTTACATTATATATGATTGTGTAATCATAACTATGAATAGTGAAAATTTGAATAACACAGACACTTCATTATTAGCAAGATTCATTATTAGCACTAATCAAGACCTAGATGACAATCATAAAAGTGATTTTTATTTAGGTTTGGGTTAGACTAGATGAGTTTTGAAGCCCCTTCTAATTCTGAAATGCTGCAATTCTGAGGGCAATACTCTGCAAGTATAATATGACAAGCTACTAATACCACATGGGTTATTGCTTGGTCCCAAGGAACAGCAATGTATTCAGGATTAAAAGGCAAAGTGTTATTAATTATGTTTGCTCCCTTGGACCTGCTTTACTTCCATGTGTTTAATGTATAGATCTATCATGCATTATTTTATATTATAATTATCTATGTCATATCCCCAAATTAGACTGTAAGCTTTATAAGGCAGGAACTTTGTTTTTTCTAAACTTTGTATCTCCCCCTGCTCCTAGCACAGGCTATGCTCACAGTAGATGCCTAATAAATGTTTGTTGAATTGAATGGAATTGAATTGGAATAGCTAAGAACACAGGGGATAATCCAATTCAATACCTGTTTTTCAAAGAATTATAATCAATTCAAATGCAGCAAAATCACTGCAAAATTCTACAAACTCAATTTCAACAGAAATTGATTGAGTGGCTTGCCATGAGCACAACAGCAGTGCTCTCAAGAGTCGAAAGGTAAAAGGAAGCCCCATTGCTCACCCCAGCTGTTTGCCGGTTGGAAAGCATTTTTCATCATGAGTAAACTGGAACACGGTTTTATATTGTTACCAAAATGGTACGTTTCACACAACGGGCCTTTCAACCAGCCCTCTTCATTCTGTGTTTTGCATTTACAAATAAATATACTGCTTTTGGCTCTATGCACATTTATAAATTTTTAAGGACAAAAATCACAGGGTTTTGCGCCATATATTAATTACCAGGAACCAGTATGGTACCAGCGACCATGCTGCCAGTAAAAGAAAAGAAGAGAGAAAAGTCATTCATTTGACCTTCTTGAGAAAGCATTTGAGTTCATAGAAAGCCAAGAATCTGGAGGTCAGCTAATCTGGAGGAGTGGTTTGTGGAATTAAAGATGGTGGGAGTTAGCACTAGTCTAGGGATCAGAGGCAGAGATAGCTCCACTGAGCTTAGATTTAGGTAGCATCTTCAGGATGATGATATTACTGGCTAAAAAGAAAATATGGCCTGAACCATTCCCTGGTGTGTGGCTACATGCTATGAAGAACCTGGTTTGACAGATCTATTTTTTCCCCCAAATTAACTGTTGGTTGAAGCAGCTGATTGTATCGTATTATTGGGATGCCACTTCATTTGAGGTAATGTCCTCCAACGTAAACCTGGTTCTAACTGCACTGGATGAATAGCAGAATGGTCTTTTGGGAGGCTATTGATTAATTTAGAAAATACTTTTATGAAGGGGAACACACAGGGCGATAGCAGGAGAAATGTGCTCCTGACCCTCCCTAGCACTTAGGAGACCCTATACATCAAGGGAGTGGTCATTCTGTGGCTTATATCGAGAGTAGGGATCTAGACTGAGAGCCAAAGACTCGGGTTTTATCCCTGACTCCTTTAACACCCATAAGGCCTGACACCTTTCCTTCCTAAGGCAGCTAGCTAGGCAGTGGATAGAGTTGGCCTCAGACACTAGCTGTGTCACTGGGAAAGTCATTTAACCTCTGTTTGCCTCAATTTCCTCACCTATAAAATGGGGATAATAACTATATCTACCTCACAGGATTTGTTTGTTAGGATCAAATGAGATACTATGCCTGACACCTAGTAAGCCCTTACTAAATGTTTGTTCTCTTCTATCCCATCCTTGTAATACAGGGAATCATGGATGTAGAGCTTGGAAGGGACCTTGGAGGCCAAGGACATTGAGGAGGTTGAGTGATGTATTTGAGGAAGGATTTGAACCCAAGTTCTCTGGGTTTGGAGGAAATGTTCTGTACACTGTACCATGCTGCTTCCCCTCAGGCTCTCTGTGGGCAAACAGGGGATAATAAGGATAAAAAGGTGAATGCTGACAGGGGGCAGCTAGGTGGCACACTGGATAGAGCACCAGCCCTGGAGTCAGGAGGACCTGAGTTCAAATTTAGCTTCAGACACTTACTAGCTATGTGACCCTGGGCAGGGTTTGGTCTAGATGACTTTCTGAAGTTTCTTCTAACTCTATGATTGTCTAGTCATTTAACCTCTCTCAGCCTCAGTTTCCTTATCTGTAAAATGCACATAATAATAGCACCTTCCTCAAAAGATTGTTATGAAGATCAAATGAGATAATATAATGTAAAATACTTTGTAAGCTTTAAAAGCATTATATCAATAGTAGTACTTTTATATTACTTCGCCCAGTTTACCATCAAATGCTATCTGCAAATTTGGAACACACTGTCTAAACAGACTATTTTTCCCCAATTACATATTAAAACAATTTAATTTTTTTTTTATGTTCCAAATTCTTTCCCTCTGGTCCTTCCTTCCCTCTCCGTTTCCTCAGATGGCAAGCAATTCAGATATAGGTTATACATGTGCAATCATGTAAAAATTTCCTTTAAATAGACCATTTATGATTTGGCTGTGGTCAAATAGAATCTTTCCTTCTTTCTTTTTCATTTTTAAGAAAATTGGCTCTGAAACACCATCCGGACAAGAATCCAGATAATCCTGAGGCTGCTGAGAAGTTTAAAGAGATCAACAATGCTCACACTATATTGACAGATTTGACAAAGAAAAATATCTATGATAAGTATGGGTCGCTGGGACTCTACGTGGCAGAACAGTTTGGAGAGGAAAATGTTAACACTTACTTCATGCTGTCCAGCTGGTGGGCAAAGGTGAGACTACTTCTTTTCTTTGAAGGGTTTTCCTGGAAAATCTTGGATTTGTGGAGTTTTTTCCATTATGAAACTTTTTTGCTTAACTGTGTTGTCATTCAAGTCTCGAAAACATACGTAGCTATCACTTCCCTGAAAAGGTGCTATTTGAGGAATTTTCCTTTCTGTTTTAATTGATCAAACAATTAAAATACACAGCATGTCTTGTAACACTTCAGGATATTAATTATATTTGAAGTTGGAGCTTCGGGTTAATTCAGACTCCCCCTTCCCCTCCTGTAATGACAAAATAAAAAGTGAATCACTCCTGAAAGCCAAAAAAAAAATTCATTTGTGTGACAACTGCTTAATAAATTATTTTAGAACAAATTTAGCTGTGTACTTTGCTATATATAGCACAGGCTACAGAAACAACAATACTCAGGGAGATGGTATGTGGTACGTGTGTCATATACGCTCAACTTGAGCCCTCTCTGAGGGAGTGGGAGAAAGGCAGTGGGGGAGAGGTGAGAATGAAGAAGTAGAGGAGGACAGAGAGGTGAAAGATATTATATATAGTGTGAACTAAAATGACAGGTAAACGGTGGGAGGAGGGGGAAATCTGCATGTTAGGAACCTCCCGTCGTTAGAATCTACTTGGATACACAGCCACTAGGTTTGGTTTCCAAAGCATTCCCAATATAAGCACAGACTCATATGATAATGAGGGCTTTGGCTTACTATGTACCTGTGAATATACATGATTCTCTATAGGTATAGACTAAAGCCATGATACTTGGCTTTATTAGTCAAATCTTTCATGACTCTTATCTACATAGGAATCAAGCTTAATCAGTATGAATCTAACAGATTTCACATTCCGGATGCTGTTCCCATTCCTACCTTCATCTACAAACCTTGCAAAAATAAAAAATGAGCAAATGAATGAAAGGTAACTTAAATAAATATAAGCGGTCCCCTACTTAGGAATACCTACGTGAGGTCCTTGAAGCAGGGACTGTATCATTTTTGAATTGTCTCTCCAGTACTTAGGGTGGTGTCTGGCAGATAGCAGGGACTTAATAAATCCCCATTGAATCAAATATGGACCATCAACCCAGGAAGGCAGTCCTCCTCACTGAGGCCCCCAGAGAGGCAGTGTGGTGTGGTAGAAGGAGCAATGTGTAAAGTCAGAGGAGACTTGGCCTCTGATTCTTAACTAGTTGCATAACCATCGGTAAGGCATGGTCTGTGAACTTCTATGAAATCTCAGTTTCTTCATCTATAATAGGGAAGGGACAGTAATAATATCCATAATACTGGCACATGAGCTTGCTATGAGGATCTGATGAGCTAATAACTGTAAAATGCTTCACAAATCTCCAAGTGTCATGTAAATGTTAGTTCTTATGCCCTTCCCAGTGCTTTTGGATCTGCCCAGGATATCAGACCCCTTACTGTCTTGGTTGGAGAATACCTGGAACCCTCTTATCCTTTCCTATTCCCCTTCTGCTACAAATGGAACCTGCTGAGTCCCCATCAGAAGATATAGCTTTAACATGAGAGGATAGGTTAGTGCATGCATATGGAATTGTATCAGAGGGACATGTTGGACCTTTAATTTAGTTTTTACATAGCAATAACTGTATAAAGTTTTCAAATAAAATAATGTTATAAATTCTGTATTACTCTAGTTCAATTAAATTATGATTTAAATGTTTTTAGACAATAATAACAAATAACATTTATATGGTGCTTTAAAATTTTCAAAATTCATTACCATACATTATTTCATTACTCAACTACTCTTTATAATATTTTTTTCTTGTGAATGGAAATGTGCCAAACAACTTGATTTAAAGATGAACATTTGTAACATGACCCATTTATAAATTATATATATATATAAATTATATTATATATATATTATATTATATATTATATATATAAATTATAAATATAAACAGCTTAATGAAGAAGGCGCTGCTTAACCTAATGAGATCAAGTATGAATTCCCTCGACTTCCCTCTTCTCTAACTCAAGATGTTCTCTATCTTTGTTTTTCCCTTCTTTCTTTCTGCCTCAGAAGGAAAAATAAACTTTCTCCTTCCCAAGGCAAACCCTCCCCTTGTATTCATGATCCCATTTCCTCAAGATTCCTCTGGGAACTTTTCCATCACATTTCCCTCCCTTGCATCTTTAATTGTTTTTGAGTGGGATAGAGACCACTTACCCAAAATAAAATTCAGAGGCTTCTTTAGTTAGGAACATAAGTTTTATTTAGCAAGTCTCTCGTGAGAATCGGGCATCACCTACCCAGGGCGGATTGGAGTAGGGAGGCAGGATACAAGCAGCAAGCAAGCAGTTATATACCCTTAGACAAACAACTCTAAGAAACCCCCCACACACACTTGTTTACCTCAATCTCTTTATCCTCATTGGTTGAGGTAAGAGACCTTACATTCTACCCAGAAACTAAGAGATACATTTTACCCAAAACAAGCTTGGGAGCTACAAGATTGATTTATTTGGTAAAGATAAGGCTGGGGTGGTAGTTACAGAACAAGGGAGGGGGTGGGCAACAGGTACATGACCTGATCATATGATTTACAAGAAAACAAAACTTAGGCCCAGCTAATGCTAAAGCCTTAACTAAATTTTGGAGTATAGCTTCCATTTCATATGAGAAACTTTCACTTGTCCCACACATTTTCTTTCCTCTAATTGATTTCCCTTGGTCTAAAAACATAGGATTGTAGATTTAGAGATGTAATGCTAACTCTAACCTCAAAGGTCATTAAGTTCAATCCCTTCATTATCTGTGGCCCAGGGAAAGTGATACACTCAAGTCTCACAGATAAACTGGAAGAAAAGGGATTTGAATCCAGGCAATATCTCTGCAAAGATAGTACTTTTCCTGATGGCTCAAGCAGAGAGTGCCTTGTTTATGCTCAAGCAATTAATGTCTTGCAAATGGGATAAAGAACCCAGGACCCAGGCTTTTCCAGACTCCAGTTCTCTTGCCTCAGTACCACATTATCCCCCCTATATACTTCATAGTATATATGGTGCTACCCTTTGCACTTCAATGAGTAAAAGTGTGGTGGATTCCAAAAGACTGATTATAGATTTAAACCGTAATCTGATAATATCTGTAGCATCTCCTCTAAACCACCCAACACCCAAATTTGTACTTGCAGTTTGGATTTTCTGAGGGAACCAAGTTTAAAGTACTCTGTGGGTCCACGCTCCTAAAACTATGGCTGATGAGCCCCCACTGTCAGATTCACCTTTAAAAATAAACCATTTGAAACAAATATATCCGAAGAAAAGGCATTTACTGAAATGTCATTTTATGAGCTAGTACTAGGAAAACACGACCCCTATTGACGGTTGGTTTACTCTCCCACAAACACATACTGAAATTGCCCCTACAGAAGCTCTAACTAGGACTTTTTTTTTCCCTGGAGTGAAATGGTCCTGGGACAATGGACACATAATTCCCTTCAATGGGGGGAGCAGGGAGAGAAGAGGAAGAAATAGAGGACAGAAAAGTGAAGGATATATTAATATAGTGTGAACTAAAATGGCAGATAGATGGTGGAACAAAAAAAAATCTGCATTTTAGGAACCTTGTGAAATTAGAATCCTCTTGGATATACAGCCACCAGGTTTGTTTTCAACATAAGCATGGACTTATGTGATAGTGGTAGCTTTGACTCACTATACATTCGTGTACACACATGGTTCTCTAGGAAGAGACTAAAGCCATGATACATATATTTATATATAAACTATTATCAGTTAAGTCCTTGGTGGCTCTTACCCATACCAGGATGAAGCTGAATTGGTACGAGTGACACATATTATTTCTTTTGCTAAAATTATAAACTTAATGTCCTGCCAGTTTCACAAAAGTTAGGTAAGCATGGCCTTCCAGCAGGAGGGGAAAAATAAACTTCGTGCTGCTGGAACACAGGATTGTGGAATACCATTAAAATTGTTGTTGTGATTATTGATTATTGTAAGGGACCTCAGAGGTCAGTCTTTCTAGTTTGTACCAGAACAGGAATCTACAACATCCTTGCCATGCAGTCACCCAGTCTCTGCTCGAAGACCTCCAATGATGGAGAACTGTTTACTGAGGCAGTTCATTCCATTTTGGGGCAATTCTAATTTACCCCCATCAACCTTCACTCATTGCTGCTGATTCTGCCATATCTATACATTTGTTCTCTTTTCACACAACAGCTTTTCAGATACTTAAAGAAGGCTCTTGTGTTCCCCCTACATCTTCTTTCTGCAGAAAAGGGGGCCTTGACAACCCCTTTCCACACTTTAAAAGGCTCCAGGGTCAGGGGAAAGGCAGACAGGCTTATAAAATCAGAAAAACCAATGGCCAATAAAGGTGACTCAATTGTCGAATGTACCATCATCTAATAAAGGAGATTCCCAAAACAGTAATTATACTAATACTAAAGCAGCATGTCCAAGCCCTATTGGATAAGCTAGGTGATGCAGTAGATAGAGCACTAGGATTAGTCAGAAAGTTCTGAGTTCAAATCAGGTCTCAGACCTTGCTAGTTATGAGATCCTGTGAAAGACACTTAACTTCTGCCTGCTTCAGTTTCTTCAACCATTAAAAATCATAGCATCTACTTCCTAGGGTTGTTGAGAGGATCAAATGAAATAACATTTGTAAAGTGCTATTTTTATGGAATGCCTCTAAAATCGTGGTCAAAAAATGCTTGTTCCTTTTCCCATCTCTTCTCCTCTTCCCACCCCCTTCTTCCAGTCCTTTGGAGCCAGGAAATCCTAGTTTCAAGTCCAGTACTAATGAAAACATTAGTTGGGGTTTGGGGGTGGCGAGTCACGACCTCTTGGCACTTCAGCTGACTCTCTAAGACTAAGAAACGGACAGATTTCCTATCTGCATGGAGAAGAAGTTTCAACACCAAGAGTTCCCAAGATGGATGGAATCACAAGTCTGGACCAAAATGAGGAAAAAAAATATTAAGTAATCTAAAGTATGAATGCTAGCACTACTTATAACAAATGTTCTCTTTGCCTTGGTGACTTTTCCTTCCTGTTTTTTAGTGTAACTAGTCTACCACCACCTAATGCTACAAGTTCTAAGCCATTTCATTCTCAAAGAAGGTTAATGTAAGAGATGTGTCTCAAGAATATGTTATAAAATTTGTGAAATGCTGGGAAGAAGCATCTACCCATACCACAGGCCTAGCTATTGTCCAAGTAGTTTCTGCATTCCTCAGGGACCGACAGGAGGACAGAGCTCTCAGGGTGCACAGCAGAAACATCTCTACCCCCCACCCTATGGAACACCAGCCTTGAGTAAAGGCCCTTTGCAGAGTGGTCTTTGGGGGCCTGGCGTCATTGACACTGTCACCCACTCTCAGGAAAATAAGCCAATTCACCTAGCCGTGCCCCTGTCTAGACAAGTCATGTTGTTCCTCCCTACCAAGATGTGCTTCAGCTGAATCATCCACAAGTCACAAAAGGAGACTGAATTTTCATCTCCCAATCTCCTGTCTTGGTGTTTTGGCCCTGTTATTTGTGTGGCTAGCAGGTGATGCTGGCTGGATTTCTAACATTCTTATCCTTTGGGGAGAGCAATTCTCTTCTGTTAGGTAGCAAACAAACCTGGGCTGGTTGACTCATTTTAGTCTATGGCTTTTTATAATGACCAGACATACTTCAAAAAATTTTTTAAATGGGCTTTTTTATTCCCTCGGTGGTTACATTGTTTTTTTAATTTAAACTTATTTATTTATGCCAAAATAAACCGAGGAACTGTATAAATAAAATTATAAAAAAACTTTTTATACAGATAAAATCAGATTTAAATAACTGGAGAAATATTAATTATTCATGGGTAGGCAGGATCAATATAATAAAAATGACAATTTTGCCTAAACGAGTTTATATATTGAATGCCATCCCAATTAAACTACCAAAAAATTATTTTACTGAATTAGAAAAAAATAATAAGAAATTCATTTGAAAGAACAAAAAAGTCAAGAATATCAAATGAACTAATGAAAAAGTATAAAGGAAGACAGTTTAGTACCACCAAATCTTAAATTATAAGGCAGTAATTACCAAAACTACCTGGTACTGGCTAAGAAATAGAAAGGCAGATCAATGGAACAGAGTAGATGTACAATGTACAGCAGCAAATAAATATAATAACCTTGTATTTGACTAGTACAAAGACTTAAGATTTTGGGATAAGAATTCATTATTTGGTAAAAATTGTTGGGAAAACTGGAAAGCAGTATGGTAGAAACTGGGCATAGACCAAAATCTTACACTTTTTACCAAGATAAATACATGGTATATGACCTCGATATAAAGAAATATTACAAGAAAAATTGAAGAACATGGAACAGATTACATTGTTCTTAGAAGAACTAAATGCCTGCAGCTTCTCTTGCTATCTGGGCTAGGAGAGGTGAGAACAATTAAATTACTTTGGAAAAAAAACATTTATTAAATGCCCACCCTAGGTAACCTACTAGGCACTGGGGAACACAAAAAGGCAACACTGTCTGTCCCCTTTAGTGTCTTATCTTAAAAGGATGAAACTGTGTGTGTGCCAATGAATGAGTGTGAAATGAGTAGCACATGATAAGGGTAAAGGAGATGCTCACACCAAGTGTTTTATGTTTTAACAGAAATCTGAGATCACTTTCAGCTGGAGAGGAGAGGATTTGAGGTCTAGAAAGGCTTCTTGTGGGAGAGGTAACCTGAGCTGGGCCTTGAAGGCAGAAAAAGATTTTTAGCAGGTGGAGCTCAGGGTTCAGTCACAGGGGGACAACCTGTGTGAAAACTATAGTGGAGTAAACATACATGTGTGAATGTACGTGCGTGTGAGCTACAGATAACGTTTGCCATCTGAGGAGATGAGATACAGCTATCTCAGTTTGGAGGTATTTGGACGCTGATAATTATGTTCTAAGATGAGAAATACATGTTTCCAGATGCTAGTATCTATGGTTTCCTTTACTGGGTGGAAAGGGTGAGGCTAAGGATGGTAGGGGAAGTGGGTGGTCTGGGACAGCAAACTTATGATAGGTAAACTGTGAATATGTCAATCTCCGAAACCTTTTCCCAGCTCTGCGGGATTCTGGCATCACAGTATATGCTGAACCTGGAATCTCAAGACGAGTTTAAAACCTGGCTCTATGATTTATTACTTGTGCAACTTTAGGCAAGTCACTTATAACTCTGTGGGCCTCAGTTTCCTCATCTGTAAAATAAAGCCGTTAGACTTGATGGCATCTGAGGTCCTTTCCACCTTGAGATTAGGATTTCTACTTCATAGCTGTGTGGCCCTGGGCAAGTCATTTAGCCTCAGGCTCAATGTCCTCATCGGTAAAATGCAAAAAATAATCAGTGCATCTGTAGGGTTTCAAGGATCCAATGAAATAATGTGTGTAAAGCATTTTGTAAGCCTTAAAGTGATCTACAGGGTGTCCCAAGCTGTTGTGACAGTCTGTATAAATGCTAGCACTATGACTTTGCCCATCACAGTTTTGATATATCCTGGGTAGGCATGAGAAATCACATGGGAATTTTTGGAGAGTTTTATGGAAGATGAAATGTGAAGGCCAGCAGACAACACAGAAAAAGTTTAGAAACTCAGAAATGCATAAAATATATGTATAGTACTGTATAATACATGTTTTATCTTTTAATACCATAATAAGTCAAACTTCTTCTCTGGTACAAAGGCACAGTTTAAAATTTTATGTGGATTTTCCAGATTGAGGTGGTACCATGTCCCTAACCCCTTCTATGTGGAAGGGATACCTGTACTATTCTCATCATTTCTAAGACTTCTGCCGACACTAATAATCTATATATCCCCAACTCAGTGGTATTCTGGAAGCATGTTATGATGGTAAAGAACACTGAACTTGAAACCACAGGGCCTGGGCTCAAAAACCTGGCTCTGTTGCTGACTTACTACCTGTGTGTCCTTGGGCAAGTCACTAAGTCAGGTGGTTCAGTGGATAGAGTGCTTGGCCTGGAGTTAGGAAGACATGAGTTCAAATTTGGCCTCAGATACTTGAGACCCTGGGCAAGTCAGTTAACCACTGTTTGCTCTAGTTTCCTGACTATAAAATAGGGATAATAACAGCATCTATCCTAGGGTTGTTGTGAAGATCAAATATTTGTAAAGTGCTTCGTGTAGTATCTGGCACAGGGCAGGTGTTATAGAAATGTCTATTCTCTGGACCTCATTTTCCTTATTTGTAAAGCCAAGGGACTGAACCAGATGACTTCCGAGCTCCGATCCTGCCCTAAATCTGTGATCCTGTGACTCCAATGATCTCTTCTGGAATTTTTCCTTCTCTTGCTTTGTCTCATCCAGACCCTGTTTGTACTCTTTGGTATCCTGACGGGTTGCTACTTTTGCTGCTGCCTCTGCTGCTGTTGTAACTGCTGCTGCGGACGCTGTCGGCCCAAGTCCCCAAAGGGAGGAGAAGGAGAAGTCTACATGTCCCCAGAGGACCTGGAGGAGCAGATCAGGAGTGACATGGAAAAAGGTACCATAAGATGGGCCTTGAGGGGAGATATTTTCAGTTTGAGATAGTTCTATCTAAGACTCTGGCTATGAAAGGCTGCTAAAGTGTTTGGGTACTTGTATAGATCTCAGAAACCAAACTAGGGGGGATCCCATGGGATCCCACATTTGGCCTTCCTTTTGGGTTAAATGGTAGGAACCATTGCTCCCAGCTGGCATGGGAAAAAGAGGGAGATGACAGTTCAGTCAGCCAGTCAGTCAGTCAATAAACATTTATTAAGCGTCTCCTATGTGCTAGGCTGAGCAACTAGACAGCACAGTGAATAGAGTGCAAGTCCTAGAGGCAGGAAAACTTGAGTTCAAATTCAGCCTCAGACAATTACTAGCTGTGTGAGTCTGGGCAAGTCACTTAACCCCGTTTGCCTCAGTTTCTTTATCTGTAAAATGAGCTGGAGAAGGATATGGTAAAGCATTGTAAGGGCTTTGCGAAGAAAACCCCAAATGAGGTCATGAAGAGGTCAGATATGCTGAAACAACTGAACAACAACAAAATGTTCCAGGCTAAAGACTGGGAAATACAAAAGTCCCTGCCCTCAAGGAACTTACACTCTAATGAGGAAAACAACAGGCAAACAAATATGGACAAACAAGCAATATACAGGATGAATAAGAAATAAATAAGAGAGGGAAGGCAATGTTGTTATAGCTATATGCCTTGAGCGTAATGCAGGTAAGTACAAAATCATGTGGGTTGTTCATATAGTAAATTTGAAAATCCCTAAGAGCTCTGGGTTCAGAACATGTCTGATTTGAAAGGCAACATGACACAGTGTAAAAGGGCACTGGATTCACAGTCGTCCTGGGTTCGTATTCGGGTCTGCTACTTGTTACCTAAATGACCCTGCATGAGTCATTTAACTTCTCTGTATCTCAGCTTCCTCATTTCTAAAATGTGGAGGTTGGACCAGATGGTTTTCAAGGTCCCATCAAGCCCAAGTCTATGATCCATGAACCTTCAAGGCCCCTTCCAGTATTAAATTTAAGATCCTATGATGGAGGAAGTATGTGTGTGTGTGTGGGGGGGAGGACAGGAAGATAAAGGGAAGGCCTAGCTTTGAAGTTCCTCAGGGGGAAACCATTTCAGACTGTCAGTCTAACACTACAAAATGGAAAGAAATCAAAGTTCTCTAAATATTCTAGAAACCTTGATTTTTCTCTACTGTATTATTTCAGGCCGGTGTTCATGGGAAGAAGACTCTTAGGAGAATATATTCAGGGAGGGGAGACAGGAGGTTCAGAGAGCCTATTTCCAAGGGTGACTCGTGAGTAGGCTAGATTTCCCCGAACCTGGACTCCTCCCCTGGGCCTCTCTCAATCTGGATCCACCTGCTTAGGGCTAGTCCAGCATTAAATTAGACTGCAGGAATAAGGATGTTTAATTTTAATTTGCTTTGTTAAACCCTCTCCCAGTGTGTATCAGACTCACCCCCCTTAGATTTTGCCATATTAAAGAATTCAGAGTTGCTAGGATCTCACAAAACTCATGCTAAGAAAAGCCAACATATCCCCAGGTAATCCCCACGGAGTAACAAGATGGGCTTAGTTGTTGTTGTTGTTGTTTTATCATCAGCCCCTGGCTCTTCTTACAGTTACAATTTGCTATAATTAGGACTTTTTACCCCTGCAGAAGGAGTGGAGAGAGCAGCTGGGCCTGGAGTCAGGAAGACCTGAGTCCAAATGCAGACTTAGACACTTACTAGCTCTGTGACCCTGGGCAAGTCACTTAACCTCTGTGAATTGATGAAATTATGAAATGGAATCACGCATGCCAGGTTCTTTGGGTACTTGCTGGGAAAGGCCACAACTGACAGTGGGGAACAGGATAACAATCACACTTTAATAATCACAGAAGGTGTAGAGACAAGAGGCAACACAGGTAGAGGTAGATGGACAGGGGATGGGGTGGTGAAGACAGGTAATGTGGGGAAGAGGATGGGAAGGGAGAGTGGCAGAGAATACCACTTATGTAACCAGTGTAGCTAGACAGTACAAAGGATAGAGCTTCCAGTTTGGAGTCAGAAAGACTCGTCTTCCTGAATTCAAGTCTGGCCTCAGATACTCACTAGCTATGTGACCCTGGGCAAGTCACTTAACCTTATTTGCCTCAGTTTCTTCATCTGTCAGATGAGCTGGAGAAGGAAATGGCAAACCACTCTAGTACTTTTGCCAAAAAAACCCAAATAGGGTCACAGAGCGTTGGACCCGACTGAAAAATCACCATAAAAACAAATAATGGCTTAGAGTTGGGAGCACTTGGTAGCACAGACCCAATGCATGAGTGTTTGGGCAGATGACAGGAGTTTGAGGTCTCATTTTTATAAAGTTTTTTTTGGAGAGGGAACAGACCAACTCCTATCTGTGCCACCTTGGGGTTAGCTCATTAACATACCCAAACCATCTCAGAGTTATCAATAAAACTTCAAAGTTACATCTCTAAATTATCAGTACCGTTTGATATTCTGTTGCCCCAGAACTGTGGAGGTCCAGATTCTGTCTGGAATTTATGTATTACAGCATCAGAACCTTGACAGGCAGTGCCTAGGTGGCTTCTGCTGATTCAGCACATATTACCAGGATGTGAATTTTGACCAATATAGGATACAGTTTGTAAATCATGCTCCTTCGATCTTTGGGGTGGTTTGTACATGACTCCCATGTTCCCCTTTGCAGTCTTATTTCCTGCCTATTACTTCTTCACATTGGTGATTTATAACCTTACTTATTATACTAACTAGAAGGGGGGGGATCGGGGGGCCAGAACAAGATACAATTTTAACACCTCTGTCTGCTTCAGTTTCTTCAACTATAAAATGGTGACAATAATAGCATCTACTTAAGGGTTGTTGTGAGGATCAAATGATCAGATTTTTAAAGTGCAGAGTATAGTGCTTAGCACATAGCACGCACTTAATAAATGTTTGTTTCCTCCCTTCTTTCTTTTATACTTCCTTCCTCTCTCTTCTTTTCTTCTTTCCTCTTTTCCCAATCTTTATTCTTCTTTCCTTCCTTTCTTTCCCTCCTTTCATTCATTCTTTCCCTCCTTCTTCCTTCCCTCCTTCCCTCTCCCTTCTGTCCCTCTTTCTTCCTTCCTTCCTCTGTCCCTTCCCTCTTTCCAACTAAGACATTTCACCTCATGATCTAAAAGTTTTCTGTATGTCCAAACATAAGAAATACCTATATCAGCAGACTCAGACCCCAAATTCAGCCTTTGATTCAGGTTTAAGGATAGTTTCTGGAAGAGTGAGGTAGTTGCCATCCCTGAGTAAACTCTACCTTAAACTCCCCTTTAGTAGTAGGGAAATCGAAGCCAATGCCTCTAACTCTCATATTGTAAATGGTGCAGTGCAGAGTCCTCTGAAAAGTCATGTTCTTTCCTCTTGTTAAATGTAGTGGCAATGTTGTTGTTGCTGTTGTTGTTGTTGTTAAGTTCCACCAAGTTATTGAATGGCCCCTGCTGTAAGTGTCCCTGTGGTAGATTTCTTCCTGGAACAGGTATTCATAGCAAGAGCCAAATTCCTGCAGGTTTCCAGCCTCCAGGGTGACTGGAAAGACTGGTCATTAATCTGTGTACCCCTCGCTGTTCTCAGACCTGGCACGACTATGCTTACAATTTTGCTTCAGAGGTCAGACTGTAGACTAAAAAACAACCAGGTCCCATTAATATGTTGTTATTTTTGTCCAGAAGGAAAAGATCCCTCCTTTTTCTATATATTTAAAAAACATCTATGCTATGTGTGAATGCATTTTATTTCATTTTTTAGTTAAGATTTTCCCCTCTGTCTACTAGGCAATACATTTAGGTAGGACATTAATGAGCCAGAGAACATCCATGGGGTAGAATGAACGTGACAAAGGGCACTGAGTCCCTGCCTTTAGGGAATCTGATGAAGGACCTAGGGATGCTTAGTCAAGAAAAGAAGACTCCGTAGGGTTATCATCTGGAAGAAGTATTAGACTTATTCCATTTGGCCCTACAGGGCAAAACCAAAAAAAGGGGTAGATGTTACAAATTTTAACTTAATATCAGGAAAACTTAAAAGAAGTGCAGCTTTCTTCAAGTAAAATTAGGGGGTAATAGTTTCTTTCAATGAAGGAAGACTGAAAACAGTAGTAGTATAATTTCAGTCGTGTTTAACTCTGTCATTTGGATTTTTCTTGGCAAAGATACTGATATGGTTTGTCATCTCCTTCTCCAGCTTATTTTACAGATGAAGAAACTGAGGCAAAGGGTTTTAAGTGACTTGCACAGGGTCATAGGCCTAATAAGTGTCTGAGGCCAGATTTGAACTCTGGTCTTTCTGTCTCCAGGCCCAGCACTCTATCCACCTCACCACCCAGCTGCCCACATTAGTATATTATAGTGGAAATCCTATCCAGGTACAATTTGAATTAGATGGCTGCTGAGGTCTCTTCTGACTAAAATTTGCTGTTTCTGTGAGATTTCTAAAAGACTTGGTTTGGATTACAGATTAATATACAGTGAAAGAAAATTCTTCTATGGATAAATGTCAGAGGAAGTCTATCTGAAGGCTATTCCTTGTATGTATGCATTTCAGCTCATGGGTGGAAATATTACTAGATGAATCCTGCCCAGATAGCATTTAGGAGACTTTGAAAGGGAACTATCAGAAACATAACTTTCAAGTTACCTCTATTTGGCAATGAGTAGAATAGATTTTTTAAAAATGAGTCCATTAGAAAGTGATTGTGAGCACACACTTGTAGTCCTGGCTACTAAGGAGCCTGAGGCTGGTGGATTGCAGGAGCTCTGGAGTTCCGAGCTACAGTGGGGCTAAAGCCCATCAGGTGTCTGCACTAAGTCTAGCACTAATAAGGTGACCCCTGGTTGCAGAGGGCCATCAGGCTACCCAAAGAGGAACAAATTGGCCCAGGTTGGAAACAGAGCAGATTAAAGCCTCACTACCAATCAGTAGTTCAGTAAGGAGGTATCAGACCCATAACTGGCCACTGGTTTTCCAGCCAGATGAGATATGGAACAATAGTCCCTGCCCCAATCCCTCAAAAAAGGTGACATTCTGGCTTTGAGAACTTTGCTTTAGTGACTTTAAAAGGAAAGAAGAAAAAGGGCAGCAAACATGAGTTTCCTGTGTAGTCATCAGTTCATTCTTTTCATTTCAAGGCTAACGATAGAATCTCAAGCCTTGGCAGGGAACTTAGACAGCATACAGTCCGACTTCTCACTCAAGTACAGGAGTTCCTCCTACAGTGCATCTGACGAGGCAACCAGTTCCTGCATATGATATCCTGAGATCACAGATTTAGTGTTGGAAGGGTCTTTTGAGGTCACCTAATCAATCAGCAAGCATTTATTAAGTACCTAGTATGTGCGCTAGACATGGGGGATACAAAGACAGAAACAAAACAGTCTTTGCCCTCAGTGAGCACATACTCTATCAGATACCCTTTAGATATTGACAAAACTGAGGCCTAAAAAGTTGATGTGTTTCCCAAGGTCCCGCAGGTAATAAATGGCAGGTCCCATGCCTCCAAACCTAGCCTTCTCTCCACTGCATGATTTGGGTGGCTATAATTGTTTTTCTAGTTTAAACAATACTAGCTGATCATTGGAAGATTCTGAATACAGATTTCTCCAGAGAGGCTATTATTTGAAATTTGTTACTTTGAATTCACTTCCTTTTCTCCCATCAGACTACTCCTTTATAACCTACATTAGGTGAGGGTGTTACAAGAACAGAATAATCAGTATCTATTACCAGTGAAAGGAGATTTCCATCAGCCTATATAGGGTGTTCTAAGGGAGGGCTGGAATGCTTTTACCTGAATTATCTGGCTCATTCTCTCAAATGAAAGCCTGAGATTTTTGTCTTGAGTACAAAACCACCACAAATCACGATTTGCTTATGCCAGCCTGTAATGACCACTGATGATTTCATTTCTACACTTTGCAATGATTTTGAAAAAAGTGTGTGTGTGTGTGTGTGTGTGTGTGTGTGTGAACCTGTTATTCAGAGACTCTAATCTGCAAAAGCCCAAATAGGATGAGCTCTCAGGGCTGCCAATGACGATATCCATTTAGCACTTCCTTCTCTCCCCATGCCACACAAGGCTGAGCAGGAGCTAACTATAGACATCAGCTTCTAATTTCAATTCTGATGCTTGACATCTCCCTGCTAAAGACATGAGGGAATGTACTATACACATCCTCCTCAATCCACACAAATCAATGTTTGGAATATCAAATCCTATTTTTTCCCCATTGACTTACACTAGACAACTGGAAATATTTTCCAGCTGCCTCAAGCTTCCTTAAGACTTCTAATTTTAATCGATTTACAATCCTTTTTTGGAGTGGGGGGAGACCTCTTGTTGTTGTTCAGTTATATCTGACTCTTCGTGATCCCATTTGGGGTTTTCTTGGAAAAGACTGGAGTGGTTTGTCATTTCCTTCCCTAGGTCATTTTATGGCTGAGGAAACTGAGGCAAACAGGGTTAAGTGACTTGCCTAGGGTCACACAGCTAGTAAGCTTTTGAGGTAGCATTTGAACTCAGGTCTTCCTGACTCCAGGCTCAGTGTAGTATCCTCTGTGCCACCCAGCTGCTTTCTGCTGTTATTAGCATGTAATGCTCTCTTTACAGATGTCTCTGCCAGGTGTTACCTGCAATCTCTTTATATACTGCAATAGTTAGATAACTGGCCTCTGGTCAGTGGAAGAGGTTGGCTGTATAATTTTAAAATAAGCAGCCCTGAGAGCTGATTCTACTTAGGCTTCACATTTATTATAATAGAAAGAGCATTGGAATGGGAGTCAGGAGTCTAGTGTCTATGCTACCAGCCTGCTTTTTTGTGGTTGATTTTGTTGGGAAGAGCATGGCAAGGTCTCAGGACAAACCATCTAGCTTCACACAGTGAGGAACTTCCTCTGGCAGACACACTCTATATCCTTTACCCAGGCCTGCCTTGTTATATTGAAGAGTCATGCTGTTGGATGTGAAGGGACCTAAGGAGAGTGTGTGGATGGTTTAGAGAGGACCTACCACCATTACTGAAGGAAACAACGTTTCAAGATGTGCCCTGTTGATTCTGAGTTAATGGGATCATCTTTATAGATAAGGACAGCAGATAATTGCTCCCCAAATTAGTGTTGTCCTTCTTTGCCTACATGTTGTATCCAGGAAGATCTAGGTCCTAGGCTCAAATCCCCCCTCAGACACTTAACTAGATGAATGATCCTTGGCAAAACACTTATCTCAGCCTCAGTTTCTTCATCTGTAAAGTGGGGATAAACTGCTTCACAGCCTTGTTATGAGGAACAAATGAGAACCGCATGTAAAGTGATTTGCAAACCTCAAAGCAATCCACTCCTCATCAGAACGCAGGACTCTTGAGAACCAAAACTGCTACATTTTTATCCTTGTACCTCCAACATCCAGCATAGTCCTTTTCACATAGGGATAGGGACTGGATTTGGGATTTCATTGACCTAGGGAACTCCCCAAATGAGACATTCTCTAGCAATGCTGGTTGGTGGTTGTTGCTTATCTTTCGTTTTCCAAGAGGACCATTGTGATGTCTTGACTTGTCTGTGTATTGGATTTGAGTGAGGCAGAGTTACACAAAGTTGTCAGTCTCACTCTCTTCCAGAGTCATCAGAAGAACAGTGGGGACAAAAGTCAGGATGACTAGCAATGGCTTGTACCTTTAAGAGGGTGCCCTAGTGTCACACAGCCTGAGCCTGTGAGGGGTTATCCTGATAATACTAACTCTGGCTCTCTAATCACTACAATGCGTGCGCACGCGCAGACGTGTATATGTGTGTGTGTGTGTGTGTGTGTGTGTGTGTGTGTGTGTGTGTGTGTGTGTGTGTGTGTGAATGAGGTTTACTGGCCTTTCACATAGTAGGTATTTAATAAATATAAAACTGAACTGAATTTCCCAAAGGGGAAATCATTGGACAACAAAAATCCTCAATCAAAGCTCAATAAAATATCATCTTCATGGAATCATCACCTTCCACCTCCTCCCACTTTTTTGATATGGTCTCTAAAGGAGAAGCAGTTGTAGTGTGACCTTGTACTCAAGATGTCAGCTGCAGCACATGCAAAAATATGTTTACAGCTTACTCTTGCCTTTCCCCCTGGAAAGAACCCAAACTGTTCTCTAACCACTGAGGTCATGCCGTATGGTGTGTAATTAGACTCCTGCTCTTGGCCAAGATATTAAGCTCTCTCTGTATTTTATGTTTGAGCCTCACTGTGACATTTACTCACTATGACAGAAGGGTTCTGAACATGTCCCCCCATCATCTCAGAATTCAGAGAAAGTAATCATTTTTAAGCCCTATGTAGGGGCTAGAGCTGTAATGAAGCTGAATTACATTATCTTCCTCTATATGAAAATATCAGTCATGGGTTGCTAAGGCACCAGTGAGCAACATGAAATGATGCAGTCCACCCAGACCTTAGGGGAACTTCTTAAAGTAATAAACTCACAAGCCTTTCCCAAAACATTGGAAAGAAGACCTGAAGGTCTCTCTTCCTACTGTTGACCACAGTACAAATGTGCCATATGCCCCTAGCCCACTAGGAGAGCAGTGTATATTCAAAGATGGCAGCCACCTTGGCTGGAGAATCCTTTTCCATTTCCATCCTGCCAATTATTTCATTTCTAATTTTCATACCCATATCTATCCAAAGTTTTCACACTTTAGGACAGTCTAGGCAAAAATCCCACCTTTATTAGCATTATACAATCTTTGGGGTTTGAACTCAGGTCTTCTGTCTGGAGAGCTAGTTCTTATTCCATTGTACCAAGCGGAAGGGTAGAGGGAAAAAATTCTATAGGGTTAGAGTATCAACAAAAGGTAGAGAGGTAAGGAGAAGGGTGTGTTTGTATGTATGTATGACACAAAGATGAATTTCAATTTTTTTAACAGCTTTGTCTAGGGCTAATCCCTTGTGCCCACTGACTTTTAGTTGTGCCGACTAAGAACTATTTCTTTTGTGGTTCTTGCTGCTTCATTCCTCTTGTTGTTGACATGGAAAGGAGAGGGCTGGGAGTGATGTTACCACTGATATTCACCATGGACATGAACAGTTCCTTGCTAGCAAAAGGAAAACCAATCATTAAAATATATATATAATATATACTTTTTTTTAACCTAATTACATGTTAAGCAATTTTTTTTTGACATTTGGGTTTTGTGTTTTGTTTTTTTTAAGTTTTGAGTTCCAAATTCTATCCCTCCCTTCTTCCCCCCTCCCTGAAACAGTAAGCAATCAGATTAAGGTTATACATGTGCAATCACATAAAATACTTCCTTTTTAGTCACTTTATACAAAACTCAAATACAAGAAAAAAAATGAAAGAAAGCGAAAAATAGCATGCTTTAGTCTGTATTCAAACAATATCATTTCTTTCTCTGGTGGTGGATAGCATGCTTCATTATTAGTCCTTTGGGACTTTTGGATCATTGTATTGCTGAGAATAACTTAAGTTATTCACAGTTCTTCATCAAACAATACTGCCGTTACTGAGTATGTTTTCCTGATTGTGTTTACTTCACTTTGCATCAGTTCATCTAAGTCTTTCCAGGTTTTTCTGAAATCATCCTGCTTGTCATTTCTTATAGCACAATAATATTCCATCACAAGCACATACCACAGCTTGTTTGGCCATTCCCCAATTGATGGTCATCCCTTTGATTTCTACTTCTTAGCCACCACAAAAAGAACTGCTATAAATATTTTTGTAGTAACCCTGGGCAAGTCACTTAACCCTGATTGCTTCACCCCCCCACCAAAAAAAAATAAATATTTTTATACAAATAGGTTCCCCTTCCCTTTTTATGTCTTTAGGTTATTGACTTGCAGCAATCTGCATCAAGCACAGTTTTATAGCCCTTTGGGCAGAGAGGAAAACCAATCATTATGGTTGTCTGATACAGTGTCTACATGAAGAGTGGAGCAGTGTTCATAAGCATAAGTGGGGAGGTGGAGTCAGACATGACTAAACAACAATTCTATGTCACCTCCCTCATGTTAGGCATGCTCATCCCATCCTTCCCCAGGCTTACCATTCTCTTTTTGTGTGCTTGGCCACAGCCTGAAGCCCAGCCATGCCCCAATTAGGAGGACAGGGTTGGATAAATATGAGGCTCTCCCTAATAAGAACTGAACTAGATAGACTCTGAGGAGGAAACAGATGGAATAATAATTGCAAGGAGTAATCCACGGGTACCTTCAGTTGAGAAATCATACAGGAAAGATTTGGGGTAATGGTTCTTAATCTTGTCTGGTGAAACCTATGATCCTCAAAATGATATTTTCAACTGCATAAAATAAAGTGAAATTTAAAGCAATATGAAAAAAAGTGATTGCAAGTGAAATATATTTATCGATTAAAAAAAAAAAGTTCATGGATCCCAGGTTAAGAATCCCTAGTTAAGAGGGAAAAAAATGAGCACCAGGTGACTGCTAACTCCTTGTTTAGGGGTACTGAATCAGTTATTGTTGATTTTACAAATAACAATACAGAAGTATGCTGTCTTCTCAGGGTGTCTACGCAGGATGTGACAGGGCTTCCCAAGGCTTGTCAAGCCTGATGACTAATACCAACTTTTGGTGAGTCACACTTGATGATACTGTCAGAAGAAATCTAGAAAACATAGTTAAGGATTATGAAGTCTTAGGCAAAAAGACTAAAGGGGCACAGGTGGTATTTTCATCACAGCTGCTTTCCAAAGACAAATGTTTCAAAAGTGAAAGGCAGATTTGAGAAGCAGTTGGTTAAGAAAATGGCATCTTTGAACATAATTTGGATTTTGGGACCAGGAACTAAAAATATGTGCATGATAGAGTCTTGTCAAGGATAGAGTGCCCCTAATAAGGGCGGGTAAAAATATGTTTGCTTTGGAGCCTCACAAATCTAATCAAAAAGGTTAACTGAAAAAGATGGAAGGAGAATCACATTTGCACATCAACTAATCTAGCTACCTTAAGAGAGCTGCCAAAGGTTGAAAGAGCAGTAGAGATGCCTAGAAATTCACGAGATAAAATTCTAGAAAAGAGCTAGAGATAAAACTGGACCCCAAGTGATAATGCTGATGACTTACTTTGGCAATGTTCTTTAGTAAATGGTGATGAGAAACTAAAATGATAATATGTATAGGTGAGGACCCAAATAATGCCAGACTTGGTTCTAGTCATAGGCTTCTATTTCTTGAAAAGGACACTCCATATCCAGATCCCATATATTTTCACTAGTTTGTCTGTCCCCTAAGCCTGGTTATATTCTTCCTTCTCATCTCTACTTCCTGACTTCCTTGCTTTCTTCAAGACAGCCCAAAATCTTTGTTTTGCCAGAGGTTTTTCTCAGTTCTCCTCTCCCACCCCACCCTACTCCATTGCTAGTACCTTTCCTTGAGATTTCCTCTAATCCTATAGATCTGGTATGTACAGGGTTGTTTGTATGTTGTCTCTGTCATTAGAATGGGAGCTCCTTGAGGGCAGGCACTATTTTTGCCTTTCTTTATATTCCCAGGGCTTACAAAATACCTTGTACAGAGTAGGCTTTTAATTAATGCTTGTTCACTTGACTTGAGTCCCAAAAATTTGCCTCTAACCAGCTGTGTGACCTAGGGCAAGTCATTTTTCTATGAACCTGTTTTCTCATCAGTTAAACAAAAGGGTGAAGGAGGAGTGTGTGTGTTTGGGGTGGACTAGATAGCTCCTTCTAAAATTCTGTGATGCTTTGAGGTTAGGGAATGAGCATATCAGGAAAATGTAAAGCTGGGCAGTAGGACAAATTATGCCAACAGATATTGTCTTTTCCATAGAGAGCCAACAAATGGAAGAATACTCAGAAATGCATTTTAGATAGATGGATAGATATTTTATATATATACATACACACACACATATGTATATACATGTATGTATATATAAAACATGTGTTGCTGACTCTCCATGACCTTTTTTTTTGAGGTTTTATTGGCAAAGATACTGGGGTGGATTGACTTTTCCTTCTCCAGATCATTTTACAGCTAAGGAAACTAAAGCAAACAGGATTAAATAATTTGCCCAGGCTTACCTAGCTAGTAAATGTCTGAGGTCACATTTGAACTCAGGTTTTTCTGACTCCAGGCCCAGTACTCTATCCCCTGCACCACCCAGCTGCCCCTATATGTAACATGTATATATATGCATGTGTTTATATATGTGTATATATACCTAATTGATTTCTCTTGAAATACATCTATCATTTATCCTTGAAAGGAAATCTAATGAAGAGGTCATTGCTTTGTTTCTTTTAGAGGCAGACTTTCCTATCACCCTCCAGCCCACCTGCGCAAATGAGAAAACCCAACTAATGAAAGAAGCCCGCAGCTATACCACAGACTCCTAGATATCCAGCTCGCTCAGGTTCATGGTCCTTCTGGAAGCAGCAGCAGTGCGCCTGGCAAGTAGACGGATTCCTGAAGGAAAGAGCCCCAACGATGTTGCAAAACCCCAGGAATCCCTTTCTCCTTTATGCTTTATTTTGAGGTTAGGCACAGGTGGTTGCAATGTAATTTTCAGAGCATGCAGACTCTCTTTGAGTAGACTTGCTAATGAAACAGATTCAATTACACAAACAAAGGCCTAAAGAGTGTACCTTGTTCCCCTCCTCATCCCTACTCCTCTGCCCAGACACTGTTGAGATCTAGCAGGTTTGAAGGACCAGTGTGCCCTCACTGAATCAAACTTCTGCCAGCTCCAAGACTAAAACCAGGAGTCAGTGACAGGAATATCTATCTCTCTTTTCCTCTAATAACTAAAAGCAGTCACAAGAACAGTCACTGATGTTAAAAGAAGACGTTTAGGGGAGAATTTAAGAAAAAATTATCAACAGGGGCCATTCTCCCTTGCTGCCAGAGGGATTCCCAACTCACTCCCAGTGGGTTTGGGTTGCAAGGTGTTAATGACATCACTGCAGATTGTTGTTGGGGGTGGGGCACCTGAGGCTTGCACATAAACAGCAGGTAGCTGGCAGGTGGCTGGCTTTCACTGACTTTCCAGCAGCAGAAGAATAGGATAAATGTGAGGCTAAAGGGCACCTCATCACAAAGCATCCTCTTAAAATATCATTTGAAAAATTGGGACTTGCAGAATACATATTTGCTGCTTCATTTCTCCCCTCTCCCCCTCCTAACTCCCTTCAGTTACTTACTTTGCTATATTAGACCTTACATTCAGTTGGGTCAATTATTTTGAACCGTGACTTACAATTTGCTGTAAAGTTATTACCTGCCACTGACCATGCTTCAGGGTCTTTTCTGTTTTAGATTACCTGGACTAGAAACAAGAAAGACACATGCCAGAGATATACTGAGGCTTGAGGACACAGGCAGAGACAGAAATGCTTACTTTCTAGCCCTAAATTTCAGGAACTTCTTTTCCTGGTTTGTTTTGGAACTGGTTTCATTTTGAAGAAAGAAAGAAAAGCTCAGCTTTACACATTAGGGGAAAGAGTGGCTATCTTAGGGAGTGAAGTTATGTCCATTTTCTGATTCAATTATTTCATTCACATTTCAGCAGGAGAGGTGGGAGGGAAGTAATGAGTAGGGGACAAAAATAATCTCCAAAACTGTACAAGAGTAAAAATGTGTTGTTTTAAAAGAGTTTAATTTTTTTTCTCAAAAAAAAATTCCTTTAAACATTAAATATCTCTCTTGTTATTTCTTATTTCCCAATGGAACTACATTCAATTGCTAAATACACATTGTTATGTTTTTAGGCTCATAAGATCCTGGGAAATGTTTTAGTTTCCGTAAAGTATACAACAGAAAGGGCCGGAAGACCTGGGATTTAGACCTGCCTACTAGTAGGATCAAGTGAGGATTAGATAACAGATAAGATAGTAACAGTTCACATTTATATGATGCTTTGCAGTTTACAAAGCAATGTTAACAATTAGGGAGCTAGGAAAGACAAACACGATTGTTACCATTTTATAGATAAGAAAACTGGCCCTGGGAAATTAATTGACTTGTCTAAGGTCAAATAGTTATTAAATGGCTGATTAAAAACGGAAATCCATCTGCCTTTCCGTCAGAATTCACTGCTATCTTTCTGGTGCTTGAAAAAATTAATGGTGTTATCTAAGCACAGCATATCATTTTATGACTATGTAAAGGTAGCTACTATTTGTAAATGTAATAAGATTTTATAAGCACGCACCCCTTTTATAACGTGGAATCGTACTTGGAAAAACACAAAAATCTCTTTAAAGCACTCCTTTGAATTACACTGCTTTCACAACTCCAGGGAGTGCTGAGCACAAAGTACTGTGAGTCCATCATAGATACAACTCCCTGCTGACCTTTCTTTTGAGTAAACATGTGGCTAGTACACTGCCTAATCCAGGGGTAATTTCAGCTACCACATAACCATTCCACACAGTGCCTAGGGGAAGGGTGAAGGCTAGTTAGCAATTTGGTTATATGTTGCCCCCTGCTGGTAAAAGTAACTCAAGCTCTTGAGTTTTCAACCTCATCTGGATAAAGGGTATCTTTGCTATAGATGACATCTTTTCTGTATTGGGACCCCTGGGCACAGAGGAGAAAGATGAATAATAGATGGATAGGAAAATTTGGCTCACAAATTGCGATATAAGGGTGGCCATGCTTCCAAGAAGGAGGTGGGACATGATTTCCACTTATTGACTTTAGGCATTTTTCAGTTGTGCCTGACTCTTTTATTAGCCATTTGGGATTTTCTTGGCAGAGATCCTGAAGTAGTTTGCCATTTCCTTCTCCAGCTCATTTTACAGATGATGAACCTAAGGCAAAGAGGATTAATTGACTTGCCCAGGGTCATACAGCTAGTAAGTGTCTGAGGCCAAATTTGAACTCAGGAGGATGAGTTTTCCTGACTCCAGCTTGGCCCTCTATACACTATGGTGCCACCTAGCTCCCCTAACTTCCACATAACAAAGGATTTATTTCTGGTGTACAATGCAGTCAGTCAATAAACATTAAGCACCTATAATAAATACTAAAACAATAAACATTAAGGCACTGTACTAAGTGCTGGGCATACAAGAAAGGTAAGACAGTTCCTACCCTCAAAGAGCTCATAATCTAATGGAGGAGATAATATATAACTATGTATAAACAAGCTATGCACATATTAATGGGAAATAATCAACAGAAGGATGGCACTAGAATTAAGAGCAATCAGGAAAGGCCTCCCGTTGAAGATAGGATTGTAGCTGGAACTTGAAGGAAGTCAGGGAAGTTGGGAAGCAGAGATGAGAAGGAAAAACAGTCCATGCATGGGGAACAGCTAGTGAAAATAGCCAGAGTAGGGAGAGGGAATGCCTCGTGTATTGAGTACTACGTATGCACATAGAAGACTTCAATAAATGTGCAGTTGGATGAATGAATGCCTTCTGTCAGCTACACAAAGAACTCCCTTCTCACAAATAGCCAGAGAAAAGGGGTCCCTGCTGAAAGTACAAGCAATTTAACAAAATATTACTACAGTCATCCCTTTGCCCCTAGCTATGTTAAAAATCGAAAAACAATAAGTAACTTCCACAATTGGCCCATGATACATGTTCCTGGGTCCAGGGGTACAAGGAAAAATAGCCTTAACATGAGATTGAGATAGAATCTTTTTTTGGCTTAAGTTGGTGTTTTGAGAAACAAACTAAGACAAAACTCCCAGAAGACTTTCTTTAAAAATAACAAACAGGTAACATAATTATTTTGGTACAAGGTAATAAAACTCTAATAAAACTCTAAATCCTGAATACTAGAAATTATAAAATGAAATTTAAAAAATTTAAAGGCACTTCATGTGCCCTGCCCTTAAAAGTTTGCTTATCTATATCCATTTTGTTCTTCTATTCCCCAATTGATGGGCAGGCATTTATGTCCTCTTCTTTTAGAGCCAAGATGTTAATCTAAGTTCTCTGATACCAAATTCAGTGCCCTTGCACAAGAATGCCTCAATAAATCAGTCATATAGGAAGAAGGAAAGATAATGGATAGACAACCCGAGCTAGGTACTGGTCCCCACCAAAAAATGTAACCAGAGAACAAAATGATAACCTTCTAATACAATGAATAAGTTTCTTATAGAACATTTATGGGGAAATATGGATAAGAATCATCTAGCATGAGAAAGTGTGACAGGATTGTGATATGAATTAGTAGATTTACCTACACTGATGAGGTCATACTAAAATATTATTTGTGGGGATAAAGTTTGCTTAAGCTGTAATGATCCCCTTGAGTTGCTGGCCCACATATAGGCTGCAACTAAAGGCTTTACAATCTCCCTCTAAGCAAACGGGAGAAATCTGCATAATGGAGCGTGGAAAGGGGTCTCACAGTGACTCTGTTGATAACCAAATCTTTGGCCCAAGCCACATGCATATCTTAATTTCCACAAAGGTAACAAGAAAGGTATTGGAATAAATGATCTCTTGGGTCCCTCTCAACTATAAAATTCTGTGATATTCTCAGGCTGACAGGTTGTTAAGATATAGTTTCCAGGAGGTTACTCTGGTTTCTTCTCAGCTCCCAACTCTAAAAGAGGAATATATGTATGTATATGTATATATACATGTGTATATATATGTAAACACATATATACACATACACACATACATACTGAAGTTCTTCTATTGCCATACAGAACTAGTCCAACTCTGGAAAACTTTGGTGGGTTTATGCAAAATTGGGAAGAGGTAAAGTACTGTGTAAAACTTAAAGGTAAAGTACTATGTAAAACTTAAATCATTATTTAAATGTGAATTAATATGATTTTGATATTCCTAAATTTGAAGATGGAATAGTAACTCCACTTTTCTTTCCTGTGTGTTCTGTAGGGGCCACAGGTATGTCTGGGAATTTGGCTAGGGTGGAGATGGGATGAAGGATTTTCCTCTGTTAAATGGTCAAGCTGCCGGCTGACGGATAATCAGTTTACCTGGAGAGGTGTGGTGGTGGTGGTGGTGGTTGTTATGGTGATGGTCTTGGAGTTGGAGGAGGGGGAAAGTAGGAAGGTTGGCAGCACAGGTGAATATTGTAGTGTTAAGCACCTAATTTAAATACATTTCAAATGTTTCTCATCTATGGTCTGCTGCTGTACCTTTCAAATATACTTGAATATCTAAAGTTCATTGTTTTTGATAAAGGTTGCTAATAAAGGCTGCCTCTGTGTAAGCACTCAAATTCCTCTCTCTGCCTTTGTACATTCCACTAAGTTCACTCTAGGAATAGCCAAGCAGTCAAATGGCCAGTCTTTGAGGTAACAGACCAATTTTCATGCCTGGCTGTGAACTAGGCTGTTCATTTGCTTGAACTATTGGATGAAGTCAAAGAGAGTTATTCATTAACACATATGAGTAATGCTCAAATAACACCCTTGGATTGTGACATTTAATAACTACTAATTAGTGGTGAGGATGATGATGACAAAGTGTGAAGCCTCTTTCCCTCCAGCTTACTAACGTCAACCTATTTACCTTAGATTAGATGATGAAATCAGCAAAGTAGATGTATGACTATTTGCCACAATTTGCCATGAATCTCTGTTTTCTCTCTTTATCCCCACAAATAATATTTTAGTATGACCTCATCAGTGTAGGTAAATCTACTAATTCATATCACAATCCTGTCACACTTTCTCATGCTAGATGATTCTTATCCATATTTCCCCATAAATGTTCTATAAGAAACTTATTCATTGTATTAGAAGGTTATCATTTTGTTCTCTGGTTACATTTTTTGGTGGGGACCAGTACCTAGCTCGGGTTGTCTATCCATTATCTTTCCTTCTTCCTATATGACTGATTTATTGAGGCATTCTTGTGCAAGGGCACTGAATTTGGTATCAGAGAACTTAGATTAACATCTTGGCTCTAAAAGAAGAGGACATAAATGCCTGCCCATCAATTGGGGAATAGAAGAACAAAATGGATATAGATAAAATGGAATAGTTATGAATATTAAAAAAAACTTTTGGTTAAAACTGCAATATAAAAGGTCACGGAGGGGCCTGGCTTTCCCACAGGTCAAAAGACACTATGGCATTATATGTAATGGAGATAAACTAGAGGCCTTTCCAATAAGATAAGGAAGAAAGCAAGGATGTCCATTATCACCACTAATACTTTAAATTGTGCTTGAAATGTGAACTATAGCAATAAGATGAGAGAAAGAAATCAAAAAAATAAGCATAGGCAAAAAGGAAACAATTATTTCTTTTGAGGATGAAATGATTGTTTACTTAGAGAATCCTACAGAGTCAACTAAAAATTAATTGAAACAATAATTTCAGCAAAGTTGCAGGACAAAAATAAAACCACATAAATCATTAGTACTTCTGTATACTACTAACAAAACTCAGCAGGAAGAGATACAGAAATTCCATTTAAAGTAATTAATAAGGTAAAAAACACTTGGGAATTTACCCACTGTGACACACATAAGAAATATATGAATATAACTACAAAACACATTATGGAAATAAAGATAGATCTAAATAATGGGAGGAATATTAATTACTTATGGGTAGACTGAACCAATATAATAAAAATATTATCAAAATTAATTTACTTATTCAATGCTGTATCAATTTAAATACCAAAGGATTACTTTATGTAACTAGAAAAAAATAACTACATCTGGAGGAACAAAAGATCAAGAATCTCAAGGGAAATAATGAAAAAGTGGGAAGAAACAGGCTCAGTGGAAACAGGCCTCAAGCTATATTATAAAGCAGTGATCATCAAAACAGTTTTGTATTGATTAAAAAGCAGAAGGGTCTATAGAACAGATTAGTTACACAATATACAATCTACCTCTATTTTTTACTTCTTATTCCTTTAGTTTACTTTCAAAGATTAGATTTCTAACTTTGACTTTGCTTAGCTCTTTCTGAATGAATTGCTTGGCAGGCACGCAGGATGATTAGATTGCAACTGCAGATGGACAGACACATCTAGCTTTTGACCACAATGTACTTTCCAAAGTGAATCCACTGTGCTTGATCCTAAATTAGACCTTCTTAGTGATTCAAGTTCTTTTGTCTTCTTGGAACATAAAGCCTAAAGATACACATGGTCATATTTTTCACTGTTAAACCCACTGTCATACCTAAAGACCCCAGCTACTGGGCCAGGACTCTGCATTCAACAAAAGCTGCTGGAAAAACTGGAAAGAAGTCTGGCATAAATTTGGTATAGACCAATATCTCACACCATATGCCAAAGTAGTTCCAAATAGACACACGACAAATACAAAAGATCACATCATAAAAAATAAGGGGAACAAAGAAGAAATTTCTCCTTTCAGATCTGTGAATAGGGGAAGAGTTTGTGATCAAATGATAGGATCCCAGAAGATAAAATGAATAATTTTTGTTATAAAAAATTGAAATTTTTTTTCACAAAACCAATGAAAGTAAAATGAAAAGGGAAGTAGTTAAACTGGGTATTAGGGCAGGTCTGACTCAGGCTGATACCCTCTTAGTTGAGGTTTGATGCTGGAATGAAATTAGGTCCTCACAGGTCAACAGTTCACAAAAGGAGGTTTACTTAGTAATAGCACTAAAAAGGTATTCAACAAGAGTATTCCAGCAATTAATTAAGGTAGATGTTTCTCCCCTCCCCCGTCTCCATATGGAAATACGTCTGGTCACCAGTACAGTATTTGGGGACATATGCCAAGTCTGAAGGTCTCTAACTCCATCTATATGGGCCTTTTTATGACCTTGGTTGACTAGGAAGCCACTTCAATGTGACAAGAGACTACCAGAAAGTTATATGAGGTGCAACTTGAATCTTAGCCCCCTTAGATAATCAGGGCTTGGTAATAGCTTATCTCCTTACAGGAAAGAACTAGGGAAAGGGAGGAACCCTTATAGATAGCAGTTCTATCACACCAGGAGGAAAAACACTTTTGCAACAAGTTTCTCTGTTAAAGTTCTCATTTCCAAGATATAATAAGAACCATTCCCCAACTATAAATAGTTAAAGGAGAAGCAGTTAGGTGGCAAAGGGTATGGACTATTGGCCTTGGAGTCAAGAAGCTCTGAGTTCAAATCCAGTTTCCTGCCCTTAACTGTGTGAACCTGGGCAAGTCATTTAACTTTTCTCTGCCTTTTTTTTTGTCAGCTGTAAAATAGGGAATCATAGCACCTCACAAGACTGTTGTGAGGATCAAATGGGATAATATTTCTAAAATACTTAGCACAGTGCCTGAAACATAGTAGGTGCTTAATAAATGCTGATTCCCCCCCTCAAAGGATATGAATGTGTAATTCTCAAAGGAGATATTCAGGTTATCAACAGTCATATGAATAAGTGCTATAAATCACTAATAATCAGAGAAATGCAAATTAAAGCAATGAAGAGGTTCTACCTTATACTCACGTATATCATCTTTTGACAAATTGGTAAAGATAATCTTAAAAAAAAAGAATGACAAATGTTGGAGGGACTGTGGGGAAACAAGCACATTAACGCACTATTGGTGGAGTTGTGAACTGGCCTAGCCATTCTACAAAGCAGTTTGGAACCATGTCCTACAAGTCATTAAACTGTGATCCAGTTTTATATCTACTCTGTACTCCAAAGATATCAAAGAAAAACAAAAAGGACTCATATGTACAAAAATATTTATAGCAGTCCTTTTCATGCTGGCAAAGAATTAGAAACTGAAGAGGTAACCCATCAACTGAGGAATTCCTAAACAAGTTATGGTATATGAATTTCATGGAATAATATTGTCCTATAAGAAATGATGAAGGGAGTGGTTTCAGGAAAACCTGGGAAGAGTTGAATGAACCGATGCAGAGTGAAGGGAGCAAAACCAGGAGAACAATTTATACAGTAATAACAATATTGTAAAAACATTTGTAAAACACTGTAAAAACAAGATTTCTGATTAATGAAATGGCCAACCATGATTCTGGAGGACTGGTGATCGATAACCTGTGTTACTCATCTCCTGACAGAGAGGTCATGTAGTTAAGACGCAAAATGAGGCATACATTTTTGGACACGTACAATGTGAGGATTTGTTTTGCTTATCTATGCATATTTTTATATTAGGTTTGTTTTTTTTCCCCTCTTAAATGGGAGAGTGGGAAGGAGAGAAAAGAAATGCTTACTATTTGAAAAATAAAATAAGAACCAAACTAGGGAAAAATAAAGAAAAAGGTCACCAGATTGAATGATGTTCAAGATATACAAAAAAACCCAATAGTAATTATGAACTTAGACTCATGATAGAGATAAACAAGAAAACATCAAACACAATGAAGAAATACTACAATCTAAGTGATGCCCAAGAGGTAAACACAAAATAAGAGCTTAATTTTTCTACAAGTATAAACAAAATCTCAGGGGAAAAAATTCTGTGGACACAAGGAATAAAAATTTACTGGGATAAATTAAGCAAAATGTAAATGACATTTTAAGTAAAGTAAGTATTCTGTAAGAGATAATTGGTAAGAAGATGAATAACAGAAGGTAGAAAACCTTACCTAAGTAGTAGACTCTCTGAAAAATAGAATGAAGCAAACAGAATTCAATGGCTCCTGGGGACAACAAAAAAATATTAGAACAAAATCAAAAGACTGGGAAAAATAGAAAATGCAAAGTATCTACTAACAAGCTGTCCCCAGCTTGACTTAGAAAACAAGTTGAAGAGTGAAAATTTAAGAATCATTAGGCTCTCTGTAAACTATGACCAAACAACAACAACAAAAACTGTGACAGTATATTTTTTTAAAAAATCATGAAAGGAAACTGTCCAGGTCTGTTAGAATCAGAGGGCAAAGTGAAAATACATTGATCACTTCCTGAGAAAAACTCCAAATTGAAAGTAGACAGGAATGTCATAGCCCAAATCTAAAGCTTCCAGGTTAAAGTAAAAATATTGCAAGCATCCAGAAAGAATTCAAGTACCAAGGAGTCAGTCAAATACCAAAGTCAGGATCATATAAAACTTAGCAGTAACCACTATTAAGAAGAGAAAATCTTGAAACATAATACTACAGAAGACAAAAGATAAAGCCTTACAACCAAGAATAACTTATCATGCAAAATTGGATATAGTTCTAGAGATGAAAAATAGAATTGTAATAGAGGACTTTTAAGCATCTTTATGAAAAGGCCAGAGCTAAATAAAAACCTTGCAATGAAAACAATGGAATCATGAGAAACCTATAATAGTAAATACATCTGATCAATTGGTGAATGCAAAATGGCAATGGAAGTGGGGGGGGGGTGAGGGAGGGAAATAGTTAGCGGTTATTTCACTATATCTTCATTGGCTAACAATGTAGCAATATCTCAACCACCATGTGCCCTAAGGACATGGTAAAGCTGATGGTCTCATCCACTATTGTAACACCTACTTGCTGTACTTGGACTGCAATTTTGTCTAAAACTAACTCTTCATTTTAGACAGATAATGTAACCCCAGTCCTAAAACCCACTGGTATGGAACTCTTTCCTTATTGGTGGGGTTCAGGGGTGGGGTGAAGTTGTAGAGAGTGAGAGAGAGGGGTCTTTCCAGTCTTATTCAAACTCTCTTTGAGTTATTGTGTCTCTTAAGACTTTGGGTGTTTCTGGCTTCCAGCTTCAAGAGAGAAGATGGCAGATGCCAACCCCACTTCTGGCCCAAAGGAAGACTCTGGGAAGAAGCCAACAACTATTCTCCTTTCAGATTTACAGACAGGAGAAGAGTTTGTGATCAAATGATAGGATCCCAGAAGATAAAATGAATAATTTTTGTTATTAAAAAAATTGAATTTTTTTTCACAAACAAAACCAATGAAAGCAAAATGAAAAGGGAAGTAGTTCTACTGGGTATTAGGGCAGGTCTGACTCAGGCTGATATCCTCTAGGTTTAGGTTTGATGCTGGAATGAAATTAGGTCCTCAAAGGTCAACAGTTCACAAAAGGAAGTTTACTTAGCAAATAGCATAGAAAAGGTATTCAACAAGGGTATTCCAGCAATTAACTAAGGTAGATGTTTCTCCTTTCCCCTTGTCTCCATATGGAAAGAAATCTGGAGCTGGAAGTCTCCCTGTCCCTAGTTTGCTACACTGGAGACTTTGAGGAACTTCCCTTGGGTGAGATCTAGGATGCTTTTTCTTGGTTAAGCTGTGTTACCTTGCTTCCAATGGGAGAGCTCCTTCACTTTGTACACATCCTCCTGTGTATACCTCCTTTGATTTCTGTGTTGCTATGATTTGGATAAAAGTATTTCTTGGCTAATTGCTATTCGTTGTGGAATCAGTACTTGGTGGGAAAGGGGTCAAGTCTTGGATGTAACGCTTGGGGGTCCAGTTTCTCCTAATAATGAAATGGTGATCAGAAGTTAAGACTGAACCTGAAAAACCTTATTCCCTTTAAAGGGAGTAAACACATATCATTCTATCCTGGTACCCACTCACACTGAGGAGAGCAGGGCAGTCAACTTCTGCCCTCTACCTCTTTCTTCCCCTCCTGGCCAGAAGGAGAGTTTCCCTTGGTGGGAGTGGAAGGAGGGTAGAAGAGGCTGAAGATGTCTATTCTGCCTCCCTTAGAGGCAGATGACACAATGATACCCCCATGCTGTATCAGGGTACACAATACTACTACTATCCACAAAGATCTATTTGTTCTGATGCTTTTAAGTTCAGTGCTATTTAACATAAGTGGGAGTTTAACATAAGTGAAAGCAGTTTCATGACTGTAAAACTACTTGGTCTCTTCTTTCTTGCCCTTGAACAAGGGACATTTTCTTTTCTGACAATAAAGCATACTGCGGGCATTCCAAATACTCTCCTTTTCTGCCTTAGATTATCCCTCTTTCTCAACTCCTCCCTCTGCTATGAAATACTTTACTTTTCAATCTTAAGTTGTTGCAGAATGCTAACTGCTTGCATGCTCCATGCAGACCCAAAAGGTTATAAAAACCAAATCCATACATCAGGAATCTGAATTTGCTAATTAGCAGATCTCTTAGCATGCTAATAAATCTCTATTTCCAGTTTGGTCTCCTCTTTTTCGTCCAGAGTCAGGAGGCGTTTGTCAAACTAGAATGCCGTTTATGTTTTTTTTTTTAAAAAAAAGCACGTAACTTAAATGCATCATAACAAATAGACTTTTCCTATCCATCTAATGAAGAACCAGCATTATCTGTGGGGAATGCTAGAGCAATTCCCAACAAAGGTAAAGCAAGATAAGAAAAAATAAATTGAGGGATTAAATACAAGCAAAGAAGAAACAAAATTATTGTTTGCAGATGATGTGATGGTCTACTTAGAGAATCCTAAAGATTCAACTAAAACTAATTAAAACAATTAAGAACCTCAACAAAATATTAAGACACAAAATAAACCCACAAAAATCTTTATCTTTTTATTTCCCAATTAAAACTAGCAAGAAGAGATAGAAGCAATTTTATCAAATAACTATGGATTATATAAAGTATTTAGGAGTCATCCCCCCCCCAAGATATATACAGGAATTATATGAATATAAGTTAAAAAAACACAGACATAAAGACAGGCCTAAATAATTGGAGCAATATTAATTGCTCATGGTTGGGTTGTACCAATGTAATGACAATAATATGTCAGTAACACCTAAGTTTATTTATTATCTTACTAATCAGCTTATCAAAGGTTATTTTATAAAGCTAGAAAAATAATAAAAAAGTTCACCTGGAGAAGCAAAATTTCTCAAAGAAAATAATGAAAAAATCAAGAAGGAAGCAGTCCTAGAAGTCAAACTATACTATAAAATAGGAATCATGAAAAACTATTTGACACTGGTCAAAAAAATTGATCTGTTGTAACAGATGAAGTGAATAAGCATAGATAACATAGTGTTCAATAAATTAATAGAACCCCCATCTATATGGTTAAGGACTCACTATTCAGTAAAAACTACTATGAAAACTCTAAAAACAGTTTAAACTGGTCTTAGACCAATCTCAAACTGTACAGCAGGATAAACTCCAAATGGATCCATGACCTAGATTAAAGAAGAGTACATCATAAACAAATTAGAACAGATGGGAGGTCAAATGGTTTGGGAAGGAGAAGAGAAACCTGGTAATGTTTTTAGGCAGTGGGGAGACAGCCAGGAGATAATGAAGATGAGAGAGGGTGAAGACAAACTCACTGGGGAGATTTTTTTTAAATGATGAGACCAATGGCACAAGCAGAGTGTTTGGCCTTGGCAAGAAAGGTCATTTTTTTCTGAGAGAGTGGACCACAGTAGCAGAGGAAGGACATGGTGAATTATATGGAGGGGTTTTAAGGTGAGGAATAAGGAAGAGGGAGCTCATGACAGATGGTGTTTCCTTTTGAAAAGGAGGGGAAGGGAATGACATAGGGCTTATGAGAAGAGAAAGTTTAGAATAGCCATTCCAGGGACTATGATGGTCAATCAAGGAAGAATAAACATGCTGCATAGCAAGGAAGGCCAAATTTGGTTTATATAACACAAATCTGTAGGGAAGCCAGTCTGCACAGAGGTGTGTGACTTCTAGCCTCACTGGCAGCTATGTGGTGGAGGGTTCGTGTAATCCTGGGTTAGGAATGAATGAATGTGATAGGATACCAGGGCAAGGGATTCAAGGGTCGAGTTCAGTGACCTCCTTAATTATGACTCAGAACAGTGGCAGAAAGAAAATGAGGCTAGAACAGGGAACCAAAGGGGGGAAAAGTAACAGAATGGTTAAGGGTGACATAGGAAGATCAGTTGAAGTTTAGAGATGTTTAGTCTGGAAAAGAGAAACCTGGTTTACCAACCTCAGCTTTAAAAATGGAAGACAATGTTAATTAGCATCAATATACAGAAAAGAGGAAAATTTTAAATTGTGATTTAAATAGATAAGATAAAAACAGAGTTACTTTTAAACATGTGCATTTTAAACACTTGGAAAATTTCATTCCAAATTCAGAATCTAATAATTACCAAAAAAACCCCACCCAAAACATTTCAGGACAATGAACTTAGCCTTAACATAAAATTCATGTCACTTGCCACAAGGTTAAGATAAAGTGTATAAAGCAGAAAAAAATAATCAGAAGTCATATTTACAAATGTATATACCATGTGAATCACTGCCAAGATTGCTTCTGTTAGTTGTAAATACAAGACATGCTTTAATATACTACATTCTAAAATTACTGCAATGTTAAAAGATTCTTTAATCAAAAATTAAATTCAAGGATGGGCTGTACTCAAACATCTAAAGACCTTTAACTGAAGTCAAGCAAGGTGGTTTTGAGGAAGAGATATTAGATTTGTCTGAGAGGGCAAAATCAGGGACAATGGGGAGAAGGTACAAAGAGGCAAGTTTAGGCTGGATGTCAGGGAAACAAAAACCCACCCCAAACCCTCCGTTAACTAGTGCTCTGCTAATGAGGAATGGGCTGCTCCATCTGATTTAGGGGCCGGGGTCTGAGGCTGCAGAATTAGAGTCTAAAACTTCTGCTGTTGTACAAGATACTGACTTTTAACTGCACCATACAGAATCCAAGGCTGTCTACTGTGCCCAGGGAGCAAATGTTTGTAAAGCATCTACTATGTGCCAGGCACTGTGCAGAGCACTTTACAATGATCACTGCATTGGTATGAGTATGGTATTGGGTTATACAGAATGGTAACATGGTGTATATATTTTAATTGTCCTGTGTGGTTAGAAGCAGAAGAGAAAATGGATAGTTTCTAAATTAACACTCTACTTCATTCCATCATTCCACCCCACCTTACTCCGCAAAAAGCTAAAATTAAAAAATTCCATCTCTGGCAAAATGGACGAGCCAGGTAGGAGTCGAACCTACAATCTTCTGATCCGTAGTCAGACGCGTTATCCATTGCGCCACTGGCCCTTCGCAGAGCGGGTGGGGGAGGGCGTCTACACAAAGTCTAGAAGGGCGGGAGTGGTGCACCCCATTTACCAATGGACTTGCAGTGTGGGTGGGGCGTGTAGTTTGCACAGCTGCAGCCGCTGCTGGGGTCTGTGGTGGGGGTGGGGTCAGGACCTAGGCAAAAACTTTTAGCGTCCGGTGAACTAGATTCTGGGACCTTAGTTTGGCTCGGGCTTTGAGGCGTGTAGGCAGGTAGGTAGTTGGGTATGCGCAAGCGCGAAGACACAATCCCTACTAGACACTGGGAATTTGTCAACCCCCGCTGTTAAGTGTTGAGTCTCACGGGGGCGCACAAACAAACCAAGTCCCTTCGATAGCTCAGCTGGTAGAGCGGAGGACTGTAGTATAAGACGTATGCGTGAGACATCCTTAGGTCGCTGGTTCGATTCCGGCTCGAAGGAGACCGCGTTTTTAATTTTTTTAATGTATACCTTTTACAATGAAATAGAAGGGAAAGAGTTCTTACCTTTTCTGATGACCCCTTCTCCTCTTACAATTTGCAATTTGCATATTCCTCAAAAGACCTTTTACTTACTTATTTGTGTATTTACATACTTCTCGGGCAGAATATAAGCGCCTTGAAGGCAGGGGAGTGTTTCCGGTTTGTAGGTCAAGGCGGGTCCCAGCAGCGCTTTTTTCTTTTGTTTCCCGGGGAGGGGGGGGGAAAGGGGGGAGAGGTAAAAAAAAAAACAATGATTGGCAATTGAAAATAGTAATTTATAAAAAGTTGATCAGGGCCACCACTGTAACGAGAGGCGGACAGAAGAGAGAGACTACAGAAGGAGAAAGCGGAGAAAAGACGGAGAGAGGCAGAGACAGAGAAGGGAGACACAGAGATAGAAACGGGAGGTGAAGAGAGCGAAGAACCAGGGACAAAGATGGTGAGAAAGGAAAGAAGAGAGAGAGAGAGATGGAAACGGAGACCCGAGGAGAGGAGGGAAGGGGGCGGGCGACGGAGCCGGAAGGGTGGGGGGAGGGGTCCTCAGGGCAGGGCCCGCACGTGCTGCTCGGTTTTTACCACAGTCCATTTCCTTACAACTCCCCCAGTTGGAAATCCACCCTCCAGAATAAAAGCCACTCCCCTCTCCCGCCGCGCTCGGACTGTCCCAAATCCACCAGCACGTGGGTCCGTCGGGCTGGCGCTCAACCCGGCCTAGCTGGGGAAAGTTTATGGAAAGCTAGCCCGGGACCCCTGTGGTCATCGGGGAGGTGAGAGGGGGAGAGGCCGGAGCGAGCGGAGAGCAGCGGGAGGAAGCGCGGAAGCGCTTTATGGAGGCGCCCTGGGCCCTTGCTCGCGGCTTCCTTCGATAGCTCAGCTGGTAGAGCGGAGGACTGTAGAGGCGCGCTCTCCTTGGTGATCCTTAGGTCGCTGGTTCGATTCCGGCTCGAAGGAAAGGCTTACTTTTTTCGTGTGTTTTTTTTTTTTTAAAAGTTTCTTTAAGAAAGTTTGTTGAGAGCCAGTTGCAGAGGGGCAAGCCAAAGGGGGTGTGGCCTAACGCTGGAAGTCTGCCAGTCAAAGCCGCGGTCAGTGCTCCCTAGGGGACACGCTAAAAATTGTCTCTAGAAGAGGGGAATTAGCTCAAATGGTAGAGCGCTCGCTTAGCATGCGGGAGGTAGCGGATCGATGCCCGCATTCTCCAGGTGCTTTTCTTTCTTCTACTTGATAATCTTTTTTTCGGTGGCCCAGAAGACACAGCTTTACAATTTGCATCGACTCCCTGTTCTTGCTGGAGGACAAATTCAAGGAACTTACCAATTCAAAAACATTTATTAAGCGCCTGCTGTGTACCAGGCACTGTACTATGCGCTGGGGATACAAAGAGGCAACACAGCCCTCCGTCTACTGGGGGTGACTGCATGCAAATAAAAATACACAACTCAAGGTATGCGCAAAATAGGAAATAATTAACAGGGTGGAAGTGACCCGTAGTATGTAGTAGCTACTGGTGGAAAATTTTGCAGGGATGGTGCCTGCAAACACACTTCCCACCTCTCCTCTTTCCCTTCTGCACTTCCCTGTCTGCGGCCCACCATCGTTTTTTTTGTGACCAGTGGCTTACCCTTGGGGACCCCGCTGGTTAGTGTTAGGGGCCTACCACCCTAAGGCTATGTGATTTTCCAGTCACTTAGTGACTTTCCACTTAGCACAGTGTCTGGCACTTAATAAATGTATAAGCATTTATTAATGAATTGGATTAATAAGTGGAACAGCCAAGATGGATGGGGAACCTTTTTTAAAAATCTGTCAATTCAAGAGCCATAGAAGTGAAAAAACAATGGAATATAGTTTTATGTTCTATTTTGTCCAAGAGAGAATATAAAGTATTCAGCTTATTCTGGCTGTCTCATTACTTGGGTGACTCTGGGCAATCCACTTGGGCCCGACTTTCCTTATCAATTCAGAGGTTGGATGAAAGGGCACTTGAGTTTCTTTCCAACTCTAGACCCAAGAGTGTATGACCCACAGAAAATTATAAGTACTAAAATATATACTCAACTCTATGCCATGGTCAGTTAAGGGAGAGAAAAGGAATTAGGGAGAAAGGAGGGGAATCCAGACAGGAGAAGGCAGACAAGTCAGGGAGAAACTGAAACTGCCAGGAGACCTAGGGTAACAAAAGCATGGTAGGAAAGCATTGATCATATGTGGAGCCAATATAGCTGTTCCCAGGCCCTCTTCTCCCTCTACAATTGGCGATCTCATTAGCTTCCATGAATTCAAATGCCATCTCTATGCAAATGATTCCCAAACTTACCTTTCCTGCCCCAATCTCTCTGCTGACCTCCAGTCTTGCGTCTCCAAATACCTTTCAGAAATCTCAAACTGGATGTCCAGCGGACAACTAAACAGCAATTTGTCCAAAATGGAACCCATCATCTTTCTCCTAAACCCTCCTGGCCTCCTTCAGTATTAATGTAGGGGGCAACGCAGTCTTCCCAGTCTCTCAAGCTCACAATTTAGGAGTCCCCCTGGACTCTTCACTCTCTTTCACCCTTCCTCTCCCCCATCCAATTTGTTGTCAATGTCTGTTGATTTCAAGGATGCAGCATCCCTGGGACAAACCTCAATGCAGCCACTAAAGAGATTTTCCTAAAGTGCAAGTCTGAACATGTACCCCACCCCCACCTCCAGTAAACTCCAGTGATTTCCTATTGCCTCCAGAAGCAAATAGAAAATGCTTCGGTGTTCAAACCCTTCATAACCCAGAGCCCCTCCTACCTTTCAAGTCTTCTTATGCCTCACCCTCCAAGAGTACTCTTCAATCCAGTGATACTGGCCTCCAGACTGTTCCACGAACAAGGCTCCATTTCTTGGCTCTGGCCATTCTCTTTAGGAGTCCCCCATGTCTAGAAAGCTCTCCTTCCTCCACTCTGACTACTGACCTCCCAGGCTTCCTTTAACTAAAATCTCACCTTTTACAGGAAACCTTCCTCAACCACTCTAAATTCCAGGGTCTTTTAATTATTTCCTGTTTATCCTGTATATAGCTTGCTTTGTATAGATTTATATATTGTCTCTGCCACTAAGTTGTAAACTCCTGAGTGCTGGGACTGTCTGTTGCCTTTCTTTTGCAGTATCCCCTTGGGGTTAGCAAGGTGCCTGGCACATCGTAGGCTAATCTATGTTTATTGAATTGAATTGAATTGAAATGAATTGAATTGAATTTAGAATCCAAGCCTGGCTGTTTACTACCTATATGACCTTGGGGAAATTAAGTTAACCTCTCCCCAATTATTATTTTATTGAAAACTTAATTTTTTTTAAAAAAGTGATTATTATTTGAGGATACTATGAAGAAGAGAGACCTGTGAAAGTAAATTAGTTATATACTGTGTAAATGTGGGATTTTGAAAGACAAGCAATTTCCCCAGAGCCAGAGGAAGGCTGTCCTGAATGTGTTGGTGGTGACTTCCTAAGAAAGTCAAGAGGGGACCCTCTGGTAGGGAGGACAGATTTCTAGTCAGGACAAATAGATGGGTAGAGTGGTGACCAGCTTAAAGGGATTTTTAGTGAAACTGCCCTGTTTAGAGAGGAACCTTATGTTAGTAAGACAAATCATTTCTGAATGGGAGAGCTCTGAGAACAATCTGCCCAGAAAACCAAACCAAACCAAACCATAAGAATAGGGATATCAGAAAACAGAAAGAACAGAGTGAAGGGAAATGGATTGTAGTGTGGTTGGACTTACACTGACCCTACTTTGAGAAGTACATGTACCACACCCTTCCCTTAGCATTCAAGAAGGGCAGCTAGGTGTTAAAGTGGATAGAGTGCTGGGCCTGGAGTCAGGAAGACTCATGTTTCAACTGTGTGACTCAGTTTCTCATCCTATAAAATGGGCTAGAGAAGGAAATGACATCACTTCAGTATCTTTGCCTAGTGTTAAAAATTATTTCTCTTGGAGACTTAGAGCTCCCCCCCCCAAAACCTTCTGCTTCAGAATTCTTCAGAACATCACTGATATTGAATCTTCTTATCCTGGTCCAACTTAACCCAAACCTGAACTGATTTTTTTCCTATTCAGGCTTGGTTGGAGACAGATACTACTGCCCAGATAGACGAAGGCTGAGAGTGGTCTGGAATGATGGCAGGTTGATATGAGCCCCAGTATATAAAATATATATACATATATGTGTGTGTGTGTGTGTGTGTGTGTGTATACACATAGAGAGAGAGAGAGAGGTATGTAATGCTGTACCCCAAAATCCCAACCCAAGCCAGTTCTGAACTGGCCTCCTTGGGGGGCCCAGTTTTGTACTGAACTCCCATGCAATGCAAGGTTGAGAGAAATTAAGCTGTGGACACATGTACCCCCATTTCCTTTGTCTCTTTATTAGAGCAGACTCTGTTTCAAATTGGTGTTCAGGGTTCACACTAGAAAACCCCAAATGGGGTCACAAAGAGTGGGACACAATTGAAACAACTCAACAACACCCCTATGATGACTGGAGCAGAAGATGTGTACTAGGGAGCAGTGGGAAGTAAGGCTGGATAGGAATTGGGGCTGAGGAGGGTCAATGCCCAACCATCTTTTTACTAAAAGGAATCTTTTGAGTTTAGGCCCCTAAACCTATTTATTCCTTCATTGACTGATTGACTAAAGGTTGACCTGAAGCCAGTGAAGAAAGTTTATGGCCTGCTACTCTCCATAGTGATGAGTGGGGCCCACCTGCACTCTTCCTCTGGCCAGCTATTTCAAGAGTTGGCTGCCCAAGGCCAGGATTAGAGCTGCCAATCAACCAGAGGGAGGGCGTGTGGGGGGAGGGGAGAGTTCCATTTACTGTGTTTAGAGGCTGTCCATTTTGGAGGGAATCACAGTCTTTGGCAGTTACTGCTACTGCTATAGATAGCTTTTACTGGATACCTTTCAGAACGGATGATAAATGCACAGACCACTAGTTAAGGACAGCTTACTGTAGCCCTCGTTGGCCTCCTTTGACTCAGACCCTTACCACTTTTCCTCTTCCCCTCCCCACCCCCAAAAAGGTGTTATTTTTCTGAAAATTTTCCTAGCATAAGTGGTTGTCAAGATTGGGACAAATGTCAGCAACTGGAGGCCTGGAAAGGAGGGAGATCTTTAAGGGGGTAATTTGAGGAAAGTAATGTCTGTCTTATCAATCGATCGTGTGTGTGTGTGTGTGTGTGTGTGTGTGTGTGTGTGTGTGTGTGTGTGTGTGTGTGTGTATTCAGAAATATCTACTTCGGAGATCTATGATTTTACAACTGTGGTTCGATCCATGGTTCAGATAGCAATGTGCTCTTCTCTTCTCCCCTCCATATACTTGAGGAGATGGCCTTCATTATATTGTATTTCCCCTCAGAC